CCGCGGGGAGCGAGCCTCCGGAACAGACCCGCGGGGAGCGAGACTCCGGAACAGACCCGCGGGGAGCGAGCCTCCGGGACCGAGCCGCGGGGAGCGAGCCTCCGGAACAGACCCGCGGGGAGCGAGCCTCCGGAGCGCGGGTCGCGGAGCGGGCTGGCCAGCACTCTGGGGGCGGGCGCAGCCAGACCCGTAGCTCTTGCTTTCGCCTCCCCCGAGCTCCAGAGTTAAAGTCTGTGTTATAACTCCGGAACTGGGGGCAGAGGAGCAGGCGGACGCGCGCTAGAGGGGAGCGAGCAGCCCTCGGTCCCGCTCTGCGTCTGACACCCCCTCGTGCGCTCCACGGAGAGAGATGCTCCCCTGCTCCCCTGCTCCCCCGACTCCCGAAGGTGTCACGGTTAGCGAACATGTGCTGACAGACGAGTCGTGGCCCATAGTGTAGTTCCTAAAGGAAAGTGTCTGTGTGCATCCCGGTCCGTAAGAGCCGCCTCTCCCTGCTGTAACTTTTAAGCTTCTTGGGGTAAGAATTGTAACAGGTTCTGATCTGCAGAAAAAACTAACCAAGGCAGCTGCTCCAAATTCAATATAGGAAAACCACCATCAGAAGCAAACTGAACTAGAAGCAAAAAGTTCAAGTACTTGCTGCCCTTTTGCAGGATCTTTTACAAGGTAAGACATGGCAGGTTTACACAGTAGTGTAAAGTAAGACATTACACTATATCCTTCTTAGTTTAGGTTTGAATATATTCTTATCTGATTCCCATCATCTGTCTGTCCCAGGGGCTACACTACAAGCTAAAGCAGACGGTGACACAAATGAAATGGGAAACTCGGGAGCCAAGAGCACAACAGTAATGTGTGTTAAATAAAGTATTTAATGAAATGTCAGTATCATATCTTTATTGTTACTTAAAGGATAAAAAACTCTGTAAGAGTTTAATAGAATACTATTGCTTCAAGAATCACTTCTGATGTATGACATCTTCTAAAGAGATTTTTAAATGTTTCAAAAGTTTCAAAAATTAAAAGTTGCAGGCATTACATTTAGAGAAAAAATGCAAATAAAATCTGTGTCATTGAAATCTTTAAGGACTGGACTAGTAAAGTATTTAAAATATATGACAACATAAATTTAAGAATTGTGGGAGCTGCTGCTCATACTCTAATTTTAGCACTTAATAGTTTTATCTGTTCTCTCATACTTCATTAAGGAGTTACTTTATGATCTGATATTTTTGTGTGTTTGAGGAACTTTCCTTTCTATCAATGTTAACCAAGAACAGTCCTTTTTGTCCCATTCTGAGAATATGTATCTGACATAATTTGACTGTCCTGATTACATTAAGCATTAGAGTTTAGGATTCAGATAAAAAATTATCTTTTTTCAAGTTCTCATAGAGGGTCTAAGACACAAATACTTTTTGTAGGAGGAATTTTCTGTATTACTAGAAACAGTTCCAAGAGAGGTCAAAGCGTTAAAGGTGAGACTGTTAGATTTCTCTTTCAGAAGTGCATATTCCCACTTGAAGTATCCACAACTTTTCTTATTACCTCCTTGCTTGCCAACAGGACAACAAAAAAATGCTCTGCCGTGATTTGGGCCAGCATTTGACACAGAGAGTTTTTTGGCTCTTCGGCCGCAGTTACACAGAGGGGGAGTTGATTTTCCATTTCTCACAGCTCTTACAGACTCATTCAAATTGACTGTGGAGTTCAAAACAGCAGGAGATACTTTGGGCAAATTTGAACTTCTCAAAGGTAAGGAGTGAGCAAAAGAGGAAGTTTTCTCTTGATATATACGAAAAGACTGTTTTTTTGCTGGTGGGCATGTTTTTGGACTAGTTGGCTTTCTTTTAGGAGCCTCTAAAGGAGTAGAGTAATTTCTAATTAATGCTGATTGTGCTGAAACAGCATTTCCCTTTGCAGATGGTAATTTAAAAGCTGAACATTGCAAAGTCTGCCCTTGTACTGTCCCTATGTTATAGATTGTAGTATCAGGACTTTTGTAAACAGACCTCAGAGGTTCCATGGGTGCTACACTTTCCTCCAAACTCTGATTATCTGAACTTGTCACAGCCAATTGTTTTGAAATAGTTTCTTCTTCAAGCACTGTTAGATTATCTGTACTTGAGTCATCTTTGAGCTGAACAGAGTCTGAATTTTGTTCATATTGAGATTGTGGTATCAAAGCAATATCTTCCCAGTCTGTCAGCAGAGACAAGCACTCAGAACTGGTGCTGATGTCCCCACTGGAGAGAGTGACTGAGGGGATGGTGGTGGAGACAAGCACCAGCCCTGATCCCTGTACGGGGAGGCTGGGCCTGGCTGTTCTCAGAGGCTGCCCAATGCTCAATCCCTGCTGGATGCCTGTTGATGCAGGACTGGGACATGGCTGTGCCAGAGCCAGAGGAACAGGAAATCTGTCAGAAGAAGCTGCTGAAGAGCTTTGGGATTGAGCATGGAACTCAGTCCTTGAGCTGCTGCGGGGTACAACATGGACATCTGCAGAGGGATCAGTGCAAGTCATCTGCTGTTGCCCAGTCTGTGCATTAGAATTTATCCTGTTTCCAGCAATATTGTTGTGTTTGTTCTCAGCCACAGATTTTGTTTCACAATTTCCATCTCTAGATGTTTCAGGTCTGCTCTTACTTCCCAGTGGAGTCTTGTCAATGATGTTTACAGTCAGTGTTCTGGAAATTGAATTACTCTTCTGACGTGCCTAGGGAGTCCATAAACAAAAGCAGATTCTGGAAAGTGAATACCCAGACATTTTGGGAATAAATGTACAAAATTAATAAGCGTATCAGCCTAAGGATGTTCTTTCCAAATCATAGTCAACATGCTGGGTTTATTATTTGAATAGCTCACCTTTCTTCTGTATTGCAGGCTACAAAGCAAGTAGACAGAAGATACAAAGTAGTGACTAACCTTATCCAAAGATTTAGTAATTTTCAGCACACATCCGTCACAAATCAGCCTCCAAGCAAGACGAGCAGTATTCCGGGAATCATCCAACCCTTCCAAAGTATGGTTATATTAATGTCTTTTTTTTTTTTTTTAGCTGCTACTGGGGATAGTTCTTATTACAGGAAAAATGTAATCTAGGTAAGCCTTACATGAATGACAAGGAGTTACATAACTGTGACACTTAGTCATCTAGTTCAAAAAAGGGAAGTGGAAGTAGAAAATTCCAAATAATTCTCTGTGCTGAAACATCTGAAGGATTATCCATAGAGCTGAATATCTGTTCACAATTTTAAATATCCCTGCTCTTTTCATTAATCAAGTAAAAAAAAAACCAAAAAAAACCACCATATTGTGCTGGAATTCTCTCATATTAACATGATACCCAGAGCTATCAGGTAAAATCAAGTTTCTTTATATTCACCTCTTTTCTTTTGCATCTTAGCAATTCATAAATTGATCTTGTGAACATGCACTCAGTAGCAGAGATTTCAGAAATTAATTATGAGGTTAGAAATAACAAACTGATCTCAGAGCACTTTGCCTTTCTTGTTTTGATGATCTGGTCTGTTGGACAGAACATGGCATAACCTGAAACAGTAATTATTACTCAGAGTAATGACTATTAACTAGCTGCTTTAGGTTAAGTTAGCTAACTAAAGCTAAATAGTACTGTTTAGCTTTATAAGATACATATATTTATATATGTATTAAAATGAGGATCATCATGCTTACCAGAATGTTCCCGTCCTTCAAAAGCTATTCCCAAATCCTGCAAAGCTCCATTTAGCCCTTTAGGCTTTCTGTTATAGAAGGCCTAAGGAAAGAAATGCAGGTGCTTAACATGAAGCATTTCAAAACCTTTCCCTAGTGAAGCAAAGCCATTTTGGAAATACCCCCTTACGAATAATAAATCTCACAAGGCAATTAAGCAAGTTGGGTATCTGCATTTTACAGTGAGGATAAGACTATAAGTGACTTACCCTGTTAAAAATCAGAATGGAAAGAACCATGAATCCCTTCTCTCAGTCTTAAGCAAATCCATTCTGTCTGAGCTCTGAAAGTCATTTGTCTGCACTCTATGGCTTACACTGATGAAAGTCTTAACAGACTAGAATTGAAGAATACAACTATAAATAATACCTTAAGGTGCAATCAAAGGCATGGGCATGAAAATATCTGGCATAAGTAGGGATATTTTTGTAAGTGAAAAAAGTGAGTACTACTACTTGCTCCTGATATGAGTATCTGATTTGATCATTAGAAAGGGGGAATATTCCTGGTGTTTATCTTTAGAGACCTAATTCTGCTGCCTACCTGTAAGGTACCTGTAAGTAGACTATAATGAAGACTTCCTTCACACCCATATAAGGCACACAAGACAAAAAAAGATAGGAAACAAGGAGAGCAAAACATGTCAGGAAAGGAAGAGCAGCTCATAAACACAAAATAAAGCCAGGTTGCTCTGGTCAGTGGGACATACAACCCTGCCTTGTAAGCTCAGTTACAGTCAGCCTTTGAGGTGAGGGTGGGTAGAAATGTTTCAGTCTGTCAATCTTCTCACCCTATACGTTGCTTTGAGATCAATCCAGGAATTCAGAATGTCAGGTTTGCGCAGCTGCTTCCTTTTACACTCGTAGTGCAAACACACACCCAGGTCCCAGTCTGTGCAGAGAAAACCAGTCAATCCACTACTACAGAACTGGCCTAAAATCCACAAATGTGTCCCTTTATGTGGCCTAAAAGTCTACATAAAGGGACACAACATCAACACAGTGTCAGCATCCTGTGCTGCTGGATAGTAGGGACAGGCTGTGAAGTGATTGTCCATGGGAAACCCTAGAGTTGCTGCAATGGGACATCAGAAGAAGCAAATCTCTGTTTTAGTGAATAATTTCATGCAGTTAAAGATCTCAAAGACATCATTAATACATTTAGACACAGTAAGAATAGTCATACAGTTCACTAAAGCCGAAAAATGTAAGTGTCAGACCCTGGAGTCAAAGATGCAGTGAACATGTCAGGATTCCATGGATTTCATATTTTCAGTCCTATCCCAATATTCCGTATTTTTAATATCTAATAACAGGATTTTGGCTGCCTAGCAGTGAAGACAATCTCACTAGCGCCACCTAATGTTATTACTGTGCAGAAAGAGCAAATGAAAATGTTACCTGTCCAAGTAACAAAGGCACACACTTTTGCATCTGAAGAATTACTCTGACTATCTGTACTGAATATAATTTTCTTCTCCTTTTGTATCATTTGAATCCATTTCAAAAACTGAGATAAGCAAATGTTGAGAGGCACCCCTTCGTCAACTTGTTTCTTCAAGGAACAGAACAAGAAGCATGTATGTGTTAGAATGCACTGAAATTCATTTGAGGTTTGTTTCTTTTTAGCCCTTTAAAGGCCTCTTTAAATAAAACAGTAAACAGCAATTGTACAATTGAAAAACAATGTTAAGTCACTATTATACCTGTGTTATGCCAGTTAGTTCTGTACAGAATTCAGAGAGAATAGGATGCTCTTGGGGCTGGACATACATGTGGAATTCAGATTCAATAGCTCCTGTTGAGGTGTTTAACAGGACTGCTGGAAATTCAACTGCAACAAACACAGAAGAAGAAGAAACCAAACAAAACAGAAACAAAATACAAAGCCAGGAAGGTTAAAACTGTTCCCAGGAATGGCACCATTTTAAAATGGGTCCCTGCCAACTCAGCATATTCCACTATTCTATTCTACATATATACATAAAAACATATAGTTTAGATTTCAAGCATGATGCTGGCAAGGTCAAGGTGGGTTTCATTCCTGTGATTTGCTTAACAGCTGGACTCAGTCCTTGTCGGTCTCTTCCAGTTCAGAATATTCTGTGATATACATATATATGTATATATATATCTATATGACACGTAGTGACGACACATGGTTCAAAGCCAGGCCGGTGCACTCACTGATCTCGGGCCCGCGCCGCCCGCGGTCCTCCCAGCACGTGGCCTCGAAGTCCAGGACGATGAGGAAGGGGAAGCGCTGCCCCGCGGCCGCCCGCG